GATGACGTACCATTACAATGTATCGCTGGTTGGTGGCCATGTTTGCGTGTTTGCTTGTCGTTAGTGGTCTCTCCACCGTGTGCCTTCTTCTGCTCTTATTTGTTGTTATTTTCGGCCTGGTCCCTTTTTGTCTTTGCTCTTTTCATTTCATTTTCTCTTTCCGTACTGTTTCCTTTTATTTTCTTCTCCTTCTCTTTTCTCTTTTGCTCTCTTTTTCTGTGCCAGATGGCCTTATTTCTGCTTGCGTTGTGAAGTACCAAGATTGAACCAAGGGGGTGCACCTCATTCTCTCCGGCCCGTGATGATGACCCCTAGTCTCAGTTGTTACTCCGCATAGCGCGCAGAGGGAGTGGAGGACTCCAGAATATCTGTCGTTGATTTCTATTGACTTGCGGACCCCTCGGGGCCATTATATTTGAGTGTACCTTTTTAGGTTAAGTTAGCCTGCGACCACGGGAATCGACCGCGTCGAGTGTTGGGTCAGTACGGACATACGAAGGTACTGGGTAGAGAGAGATCGGAATGGTTTTTAATGTAAAGACAACAACAAAAACAACAACAACAAAAACCCCAGCACAATATTGCCGTTTGGAAACACGCACACACGCGTACGATACCCCGTGGACGACTGCTTGTTGCAGTCTAGACTTGTATAAATGCGAGATGCACGGGTCACGCTGTGAAAGCGAGACCGAGCCAGCATGGTTGACATGCATAGCATGTGCCAATGTGTGGCGCTGTGCTGGCGGCGAGCTCGCGCCCGCACAGAGGGTGGAGGGGAGAGGCAAGACTAGCACACACAGACACGCCCTTGACATCAATCACGCACACACAAGTCTTATCCGTACTCTTCTAGCAGCAGGACACTGCTGTGTCGTGCATCTCAATAACCCTCCCTGTCGGTAGAGAGAAGAAGGAGTGCTCGCGTTGTATTTCATCGGCCCATCATCCCGCTGAAGCCTAGCGTCTTCTTAATACATGAATTGATTTGATTGGTAGGGTTGGTCAGCTAGCTGGTAAGCGTGACCGCTGCTGCTACAGCAGTAGTTTGTAGTTCAACCAAGAAACACATCGCGATTGAGACACAACAGACAACGCACGCACGCACACACGGCACATCGCAAATGAGACACACAACAGATAACACACGCACGCACACATGCCTACATTCATGTCAACCATGCTGGATCGGTCGCGCTTTCACAGCGTGACCCGTGCGTCTCGCATATTGACTGCAACAAGCAGTCGTCCACGGGGTATCGTACGCGTGTGTGCATGTTTCCAAACGGAACAATTGTGCTGGGGTTGTTGTTGTTGTTGTTGTTTCTCACATTAGCTCTAAAAAAGATGATTGGGAGCCCGTGGTCTCAAAACCCGGCATACACGACCCCACGAAGAAACAGAAAAAA